TGTTAAGAGCTGTGAGCTACGACTGCTCCATTTCACAAACGTACACAGACTTGCCGCGCAAGATGTCAGTTTAGCACCTGTGTCTTACAAAAAAAAAAAAAAAAGGCTGCAAGAAGAGAGTATTTACTGGCAGGAACTGAGGCACAAAGATTTTTGAAAAATTACAAAAATGAAACTGAGTTGGCTGGACCTGTATTTAAAATGTCTCGTGGCACTTGCAGCACTAGAAGGAGAACCTTTGGATTGGACAAAGGAGCGCTGCGCTGGTCTTTGGTTTAGATAAGGCACCTGACCAAATAAAAGGCTCCTTTCATACTGTAGATAAACTGCTGTTATGTGGTTAAGAAGGCAGCTATGATGCTGCTTCTTCCAAGATGAAATATTCACCGAACCAAGACAATATAGGATAAGAAGTATATAGCCTAGCGTAAGCCAGTTAAAACATATTCTGGTATTATATGCTACACTGAATCAATGATGCAATGGTCACAGTCTGCTGACCTCAGATGTAAGACAATAAAGTAATTGACAAGGGAAGCATTATGGAGTTCTGGTTTATCAAATCTGAGTATTAACTACAGCACACATACATCTTATTGATCAAATAAACATAGGCTATTACAAAAAATATATTCAACTTTGGCCATAACCGCACTTGTAAGTTAAAAACATTTGAGGACAAAAAAAAAATCATTTACAGAGTAAATTCACCATAATTAGACAAAATACAGTCTCCTTGACCCCACCCTGTCAAAAAGGAATTCTTAGGCATGTTTTTAATGGCACTCGGTGTGAGCCTCTAGAGTTAAGACGTAGACAGAGGAGAGCTCCACTACAATCTGACTTCCTGGCTATGTCAGCTCCTGTACCAGTGTGGGTTAATTTGGCAGAGGCCTTATGATAACCTGCTCCTCTATTACTGAAGAGGGCAAATGGTCGGCTGCATTTAATGGGTCCGGCTTATCTTCAAAGGCCTATTGGCTCTTCCATACGGGGAAGTGAGAGAGCAGTGCAAGATGCTGGAAGGGCAGCCTGCCAGACAGCTCTAACATGCCAGACTGAGCACAAGGAGAATTGCAGCGAGGGAATTTAACCTTTAATCTGTGCATTTGGTTAAGGGGTACTGGCATTTGTCCAGGAGTCATCACACCTTGTCTGGACTCAAGCTGCTTGAAATTAAAACTTGTTCACCTTCTACTTGGCTGTTCATTACATCTAAATAGGCAAGTCAAAGCATCTTGATGGTAACGTTGCTTTGAGACTTATGAGATGCAACCTAGGTGAGAATATGAGGTAGTCATTAGTTCTCCACCTGAACAAAGGCAGATCTCTTCTCTCCAGTCAAACAGGGTAGCTTGGTTGGTTGGTTTGGATGTTATTATGGCTTGTGGCAACCATGATCAGCATTTTATAAGGCAAAGCAGAGAAGCTATAAATCTAGAACAGATGTAAAATTGAAAATGTGTAAATATCAAAAGTTAAAATGTAAGAAAAATAGAGGAGATACGGTCTGTTGCCCATTTGTCATGTGGGCATAGTCACTTTGGTGATGATGGCAACACAGTGAGATCCTCCGGGAGATGAATAAGGAAGAGAGGAGTAACAGAGGAGCTGAAAACTACCCGAGGTGGCATGGAGGCAGTCAGGTGGCAACCTTTGTTCCTCGGCCTTCCATCACATCTGTGGACCTCCATCATCCTTCTCCACAGTCCAAATCTGGGAACTATTTATTACAACAGCACACACTTCTTGGGACTCTTTTTCATGGCTGGATACAACACTGCCCTCACAGCTTCGGCAAACACCTCCCTGACGCCATCCTGCAGCAGTGCAGAACACTCCATGTATTTAACAGCCCCAATCTGCTTGGCCAGGGCGTTGCCCTGCTGCTGGGTGGTAGGGGCCAGACCCTGCTCCTTTAGCTTCTTCACCGTTTCTGCATCACCTCTCAGGTCTCTCTTGGTGCCCACCAGGAGGATGGGCACGTTGGGGCAGTGGTGAGACACCTCAGGGTGCCACTTGTGCCTGACATTGGCATGGGAAGAGGGACTGCCAATGGAAAAACATATGATGAAAACGTTGGTCTGGGGATAGGAGAGGGTGCGCAGGCGGTCATACTCCTCCTGGCCTGCCGTGTCCCACAAGTTGAGGCTGACAGTGCGGCCATCCACGCTCATCTGAGCACTGTAGTTGTCAAACACTGTGGGAATGTACTCTTCAGGAAAGGCATTGGTTGTATAAGAGATGAGTAGGCAGGTTTTACCCACTGCCCCGTCACCCACCACCACACACTTTATGGTCTGCATCCTGCCTACGACCACTGGGGCTGCAGCACCTGACAACAGAGGAAAAAGCACCTGAGTAACTGCCAATTGCAACACTTTGCAGGTCCTCAGTCATCAAGGTCATTGTAATCTTACAAACTTCAGTAAAAAGCATTTGGACTTCTCTTTTTGGTGTTTGAATAAGTTTCATTTCTCATCCAAGAGGCTAAACTTTCTACAAACGTTCTTAGGAGCACTTTATACTGTGTTCTGGTTTCATTGCCAGTGATAAAGAGACGACCATTAAACTGTAAATGACAACGATAAGATTGCTTGGCCTGCAGTTGAGCGAAAGCATCTCACAGTTAGCAAACGAGCTAACCGTCGCCAACGTTAGCTTAACGGCGCAGCGTTAATTACCGTTACATAGGTATGCTACAAACCCAGCTGCTCACTGATTAACAACGTCCGGAAGGTTGTTATTGAACAAAAGACAGCGAGTGAGTTGAAATTTAGACGCAGCAATTTTCTGAGGTGTATTATTTCGCGCTGATCACTTATAACACTAGGCGTTCCCCTGCTGACTAGCATCAAGCTAAGGAACTAGCGGAGTTGGAGGCTAAGAAGTTAGCTAGTTAGCAAACAAGCTGAAGATTTATTTCCAAAGCACTCATTAAAAAGGCAAAACTATGACCTGATAATAGCCTACCGTTTACTCGAAATATTGTAGTCTACTCGAATATATGTCTCCAAGGTATAAATTAGCGGTAACAGCGAATTTTAAAGGATTTTGTGACTTACCGCCACTTGGCTTTCGATCTCTTTTTGCCTGGTATAGTCAATCACAGCCGCATCCGGGGAGCTGTCCATTACGTAAAAACCGACGTACGGAAGTAGTGCAACCTGGTAGTTGTAGTTTCATTTTGTGAGGTGCCGTTTGTTTGTCACTAGATGGCGCTGTTGAGTTGTTTTATATCTCAGTCGTATTCAACTTCCAATAGACCTACGCTAAAAACCATCCATAGATTAAAATATAAATTACAAACAGAAATAAGGAGAATAGCACAAACAAACTCAAGTTAACACCACTCTTATGATAATCATTAGTTACCAATGTCAGAAAAATCACATTTTAGCATTTGTCTTCTAGTGTAAATAGTGATTTCTGCTCAGTGGAGGTGGCAGTATTGAGAACTTTGACTTAGGGGAAAAAAATGCACTTTTGTAGGTAATTTGACAGCTATAATTAATAGATAGTAATCAGACTGAGTATTTTTCCACTGTGGTACTGCAGATTATAATTAAACATATTAATAATTCCTCCTCCACAGAATTGTAGCAGCAAAATCTAATTAGAAACAAAAGTACCAAGCAGAGCAACCCCTTGTTATTTAGATTATTTACTTGACTCATCGATGTAAGCCACATCTTGCAGTAGGTCAATGCAAAGGCAAGTTATTTACTATTGATTGTAATAAATAAGACTATACACAGTTTTTAGTTTATATACAATTGTTGGGTGGAAAGTCCAATATGACAATGAAATTAATATCAGAATATTTGTATAAAGTTGCAGGAAAAGGATATACTCAAGTAGAGTACTTGAGTAATTGCACCACCACTGTTCCTTTCAATGCAAAAAAAAATACCCCACAAATCTAATCATCAAAATTCAACTGTTAGATTTATGAACGACGTTTAGAGTGGTATTTGTCTCTGCCACCAACAGCATCTGTTTCCTGTAGAAATACTCAGATTGTATCAGATTTAATTTTCCTCAAATGTGATCCCTTGTTGAAATTAATCAACACAAATATTTACATTGTACCCCATTAAAAGCAGACTGTATCACCCGTCTATCAAAAGTGGCAGAAGCTCCACATTTTTTGATGTAAACTAAAAATGATTGACTTCCTAATGCTTCACATTTAGAGACTAGTTTACAAACCTTCTGCTGTATTTTCACTCTTTTTCTTGAACACATTGGCTACATTCCCTCTATTAAATGGCAGTGTGTTATAGTGTATGCATACATTCCCCATGTATAAACAGGCCATTAACAAGCCCGTCCCTTGTCTATTGGACATCCTGCCTTTGGTCAGCGCTGGTCTTAAATCTCATATATCACTTATTCACCTTCAGACAAGTCATTATTCTCACTCACCCAGTGCTTTCAGATCAATGCATAACACACGAAGGCAGCTAAGAGCGGTCGCTTTAGACCGCTCTGTCCTGCACCCCTGGAGACCTGTTGATGATGTCACCTCTATACACTGAGGCAGGTTAAAAGGCCGGCGCTGACCAACAACCGGACACTCAAGAACACAAAGAGGCACCAGTTTATTGCCTTTCCCAAGAGGTTCTGGCGTCACTGCAGCCCATAAAGAGCGAGATCCCACTGGGACCCTACACCCACAGTCACCCTCCACCCCAGCCCCTTTGCACCCCACTATTCTGCCAGGAGATTCCCCGGGACGTCTGCAGCATCTCCATGACAACAGCCATTGGGGGTGACTGTGTCAAGAGATGCAGCGAGAGGGAGTTCAGATGAGAGGGAGAGAAAAACGAGGGTGACGAGAAGACAGCGAGAGCAGAGGTTGATGTCGAAGAGCGGAGACCTTGAAAGCGAAAGCTCTTCAAGAAAGCGCTCGCTTGAATACCAATCTGAAGAACACTTAGGAATACATATCATACGGGAGTTTTTTAACTTCATCGATTCACAGATCGACAACATTATCATACACATCGCTGTCTTTTATTAACAAATGCACATAGTACAGTGAATAACAACCAATGCTATTCAATAAACTTATAGAATTTTTTGATATAAAACAGGAAAAAAAAAAGACAAACATTACTGTAACAATCTCCTTACAGCCTCTTCTTCAGTTTGTAAAGTGCATCAGAATGATGAGGCCTCTCAACAAGAGGATGAGCAGTTCGATATTGTACCGAGTTCAGTTCGGACTGTAACGCAGCCAAGTTTGAGAATACAATGATCAATTAGCAGAAGGGTCACAGCATTCAGAACATTTGGACAAGTTCCTAAAATAAAGTTTTAAAAGAAAACTACCCTTTTTTTTGTCCATGCTAGAGAGATTGAAACGATTTTCCAACTTGCAATTCTGTCAGAGCACACTTGTACAGACAGTGCATAGTGTTCACTCGGTAGCATTTTACTAATGTGAATTAAATGTTAAGCTGTTCTGCATATGAATAGTTACGTGTCCTCTCTCACTGTCCTATTGCCTGCAAAGGACACAAATGGGTGTAAAAAGAGGTAGATTGTAGAGGATCCACTATCCTGCTATTGGGTGAAGCACAGGAGGAAAAAACAACCCTGATGCTCCCAGTGCAGCTTCATTTTACATCCGCAGACCCTAAGAACTCAGACAAATATATAAATTTAATTTAAAGTTGAATTTAGATGAAATACAGTTGAGGGAGAGCTGAGGAAGATCCATGAGAAGTTGGAGCAAATGGCATCACCTCCACAGCGGCTGAGAAGCAGCAGCTCGAGGCATTTTGGGACCAGGTATGCGTGAAGCTGTCGGGATTTTAGAGCTGGCAGGAGAGGTGCTTGTGCTTGTCGTCTTGGCAGTTTTACTTCGGGCAGCTGATATGACAGCCGTGCGTATGGTTTTGGCTGTGGCAGAGGACGGGCTGTGGGCAGCGCGAGGCTGAGAGAGAACCTGAGTCTCAGAGTTCGGGGCGAGTCGTTTGGACACACGGAGAGGACTTCCTCTGATAAAGGCTGGCTGGGTGCCGCCCGAAACCTTCTCTGGTACTGATCTGTCTGAAGTCCTGCGGGTCAGGTTGGGCTTCTCAGGAGTCTGCGGCTCGCTTACAGTTCTCTCCCGTACACTGTTACTTCGTTTCATGTCTGTCTGAGTAACAGCGGGCCGAGTGATGGGAGATGAGCGCATTGATATGCTACGAGGAGCAGACAGCCGACTAGGAGTAGGTGGGTTTACCGAGGGTGGGGCTCCATTTGAAGGTTCCGTTTTAGAGCGCACCCTGGGGATGCCTGTGCTGTTGGAAGGACCTGCACGTGACACAAGTCCCCTTTTGGCCCCAATCCCGCTGCGCACAGGGATCCTCAGGGTTCGTGTCTCCTCCTTTGATGTTGCAGACCCCGATGTCGCCCCCTCTCGAAGGTCGACCTCCCTCTCTTTCCTCCACTTGGAGCAGAGGCTTGGTGCAGGTCGTGGGAGTGGGGAGGTCGGGGGGGACAGGGCGTCATAGGATCGGAGGCCTTTCACCAGAGTGTGGCACTCCAGTGTTTCACCCACACGGGAGTACGACCTCGCCGTCTCCCTCTCGGCACCCGGCAAGTCGGAGACCTCCTCTGGCTGCGACTGGCTGAACTCTGGTAGACTGGAGGGCATCCAGTTCTCCTCCACAGGTGTGGACACCACTTCTGTGTCCGTCTGTTTTGTTGAACCTGCATCAGGCAAAGGCACTGCAATGCTTGTTTTAACGGAAGGTGCCTCTCTCGCCTGTGGCTGTGACTCTGGAACATTCACAGATGACTGAGAATTGGTCTCAGATCTCGGGTACCTCAAAAGCCCAGCCCTGCTGTCACTATGAGAAAGTGTTCCACTTGTATGAACAGACTGTTGTATGGCCTCATTGACACAAGAGTCATTAGATTTACTCTGAAGAAGACAATTACTGTCTGTCACTGGCAGGCCGAACCTTTGTCTGTAAGTGGAGGCCTGGCTTTTAACACACTGGGCGGGTGGATCAGTATTTATAGCAACGGAGTTTGTACAGGAACTGTTCATCAAAGCCATGTGCTCATGTGAAAAATCTGCTTCTTTTTTAAGTCCTGTTGCTTTCGGATGGTGTTGTAACACATAAGAAATGCTCTCAGGCCCATGTTGCTTCACCGTGAAGCGGTTTCCATGCTGAGAAGCACTAAATGTTGCAATGTGTGAGTCTTGAACTGCTTCCATGCTCAGGTTTGTTCGTGCGCTGTGCTGAGCCCTGCTGCCTCTGCCCAGAGCAGGTTCTTGGTCCACAGGGGAACATGTGCCATCAGTCTCTGGGGAGCTGCAGAGTACAGCGGTGGTCTCATGGTCGGAGGAGCTGTTCGAGTGATAACTGGCTGAAGTCGGGCTGCTGCCAAGCTCAGGGAAGCTTTTGAGCATGGATGAGTTGTGGAGATGGGCATCGCTGTGGATTTGTTGGGAATGTCTGCGGGAATCAGAGCTTCTAAGACTTCGCCGGCTCCACGTGTAGCTCAAATTCTTCTCTAGAAGCTTCTCCAGCTCATCTTGGTTCTCCTGATTTGGAGGCTCCCTGGTGAGGCTCAGGCTCATGTCCAGCCCAGTACAAACAGCCAGAGAGCGACGCTTTTCTCCCATCTCACGCTGACGTGCCAGGCGCTTCTGCTCCTTCAGTTCCCGTTCTGCATTTTCCTATTTAAAAAAAAAAAAAAAAAAGGGTGATTGAACATTTTTCAGTGATCCTTAGTGAAGAGTTCAATTTATGCACGTATTTCTGTTACAATCAAAGCAACGTCTAACCTGGACAGCTTTTTGAAAACGGTGGCAAAACGAATGAAAGACCCTGCAAGCCTCTTCTAGTTTAAAAGTGCTGTCGTCTTCACAGAAAAACTCCACCAGAGCCTGACTCGACATCTTCATACCCTCCACCTCGTCCTCCGCCTCCTTCAGACGCTCCTCAGCCACCTGCACACAGACAGAAAAACACATTTTGCCATGTTACCTTTGAGAACATTTCCTCTACATCCTGTTTACTTTGACATACTTAAAAGCCTTCATTAAAACATGCTAAATCTTTAATTAGAGAATACTTGGTGCAAATTGTAAATCTGAAGATTGAGTGGATTTAAATCAGTACCTCCACAAAAGGTTGTGTATGCTGCTGAATCTCTGCCTCTGTCTGTATATTTGCCTTGAGATCCACCACTCTGCTTTTTAACTTGGACAAGTCGTCCAACACAGACTCTTCACACAACCTACAAAGGAGGAGAGGATGCAAACACACAATTATAATAACAAACTGTGCAGAAAACAGCTGTGTGATACGTCAGAAGATAGGAGAACCAAAAATGGGTAAATGTTGAGCCGTCCGAGATCTATTTCTGTAAATGGGATGACATGGGTGCAGAATGAGGTTTCTCATAAAGACAGAAATTCATTAGCACCTGGCTTTAGCGGAGAATCAAACAAATTAACAGTGCAAAAGCCAGAAGCAGCTCAAATACTGGCTCCGAGTATCAATATTGTCATAACCCACTTTCACTCAGGCTGCTAGCTATTGCAGAAAAAGTAGATTTACTTTACGTTTGTTTTAGCAGACTACTGGGGGGGCGTTATTGTTGTTGTTAAGCAGGGTTTGTATATTCCCTTGGATTCAATCACTGCAGGATCTAATGCGATCCGGGTTTTGGGAAGAGACTGACCTGGAGGCGGGGCCTATATGGCCTAGTTGGCTTGGAAATGACAGTAAACTCTGGTCCTTTTTCACAGCTTCCTGTGGAGACAAAGACAAATGATTATCCAGCTATTGTTTTAAAATAAGCGACGCATCATTTGCTGATCAATGCTGATAAAAATCATGCACTCTGTGGAGCAGTCTGCTTCGAGGGCCCTACTCTGTGATCTGAAATTCTTTTTTTTTTCTTGCACAAACTGTACTTGTGAAGATTTTTTCATATGTTTTTAGCTTTCTGAAACCTTCTGACTTTGAAGCTTTTCATAAACACATAACCTCGTTCTGAAAAAATAGGGTTCTTATTTTAAAAAGTCTAATTTACTTGTCTTAATGAGGTTTACCCATGTTTTAAAAAAAAACAATTGTCTTTCCTTAAAAGTATTTCCTTCAGCACCTATTAGTTTTTATTGGATATTCTTTTACTACTACTATCTAAATTTCAAAACTTACCATAGCGACAAAATGCAGCAAATTCATGCCCGGCTTGTTGGCTTTGGTGTCAGCCAGTTTGAGGAGTGATGAAATTCGAAAACCAGCGGCATTCCCTGCGTATCCACCCTGAGAAGCCACGTACAAGGTCAGAATAACATACACGCACATACAACATGTGACAGCTTTAAACAAACACTGATTCAAAACCCAGGTGCACAGTCATAGTGACGCCCCTGAACACACACCCAGACCACTACCGACTGCTTTATTGTGCACAGATAAAAAGAACTGATTCCTCTTTTTTTCAGGCTGAAGAAAAGAAATAAAAAAAAATAAAATAAAGGAGCACTCACAGCATTCATATAGTTCCCTGCTTTCAGCACCAATCGGAGGATGGAGTGTAATTCTGGACAGCTCAGCAGTTCTAGAAGAATAAAAGACAGAGATTCAATATTGTGCCTCAAGGTTGAAATAATGGCTATGAATGTGTATGCAGCTGACATCAAGGCCACTGAATGAGTCAGCAGCTTTGTTCTGAGGAAGCTGCCACTCAAACTGACTCCTGAACTGAAGCTTCACACACCAAAAAAGCATCACTGAGAGCAGGTTTCTCCTAAATCTGTAAGTCAGTCGGAATGCTAAACACTTTATCTCATTTGCATTCTGGCTCCTAACAACGCCAAACTAGACTAAATACGAGGATTTCAAAGGGCAAAACAGCTCCGGATCTTTATAGCTGCGGAGTACACAACTCCCTGCTGTTACTTTACCTCTGGCCGCCTCCCTCAGACATCTGGCTGCCACACACAGAGAGGTCACAGCAGGGTCAAACTCTTGCTGCAGGATCATGGCATCCAGACGCAGCCGAAAACTAGCGAGGGAGGAAAAAGGAGGGACAGATGATGGAGTCGGTTAAACAAACACAGCGCCATGAAGTGAAGCATGTAGAATAAATGTTCTGATGCTTTTTGCGCATACCTGGGGACCTCCACCAACAGCAGCATGAAAAGATCGGGCTCTCCGAGGCAGCTCCGCTCCCCGCCGAACCTCCTCAGGCGAGACTCCTGAGAGACAAGAGAGACCGGGTAAAATCTGGAAAGCAGCTTCAGGAGTACTAAAACCAACATGTCATTAAGAGTCAATTCCAATATCTTTCAACGTGGTCCTGCTCTGGAAACAGACCACATCATACGACATGGTGTAATGGCAAACTTTTGATCATCCTAACCAGAGCCAGATGAAGTTGGGGGGGGAGGAAGGAGCTTGTCACTGCTGCTGTAGTGTTTGTATGCCAGAAAAGCCACTTTACCTCCTCTCTGTCAGGCAGCAATTTGCAGAGCTCTGTGAGCTTCTCTGCTCCGTAACGGTCTCCAGCACCCTGCCTGATGTCCTCAACCATCTCCTTCGCAGGCCTGCGGAAACAAACGCACATCTTAGTATGACATCATTTAACCAGCAGTCGTCTTTCTCAGCCTGAGAAAGACAACGACCCCCACAAAGAAGCCATGACATGAGCGCTACCGGCTCTAGTTTTGCAACAATCATGCAACAATGAGGCTTATCCTATTCTTATCAGTCGGGCTGACGCCAAACAGGCAACGCAAAGTGGTATACCCACTGGGCAAATAAAAAGCAGACATGCACAGAGGACGTCTAAAGGGCCTTAAGAAGTCAAGGTGAAAGAGCAGAAACTGGCCCAACTGGCTGTTTGACCTCTGACTTACTTTCTTTGAGTGACACATCTGCCCTGTGTTGCAGCAGTTTTCCATTATCCTCTCCCCTCCTCATCTTACAGCCCATCACACGTGCTCGTGTAGCCTTTATTCTCAAACAAATCCTCCTCATTCATAACTCAGCATGCGCATCCATGTCGTATTATCTGTCACCAACGGCTAAAGGTCGACCTTTGAAGACATCTAATGTAGCCCTAAAATAAATCAATTTCTATGGAACTCATTCCAAAACAGAAACACTTTTTCTCAACTGCTCAACTTAAATGAATTGAAAACGAAACACGAAAAGCAATAGCCTAAAAATAACACAAACCGATGTGATATTGAAGTGATTTCTCAGTCAATGACAACACAAAACAGGATTTTTTTGTTTAAACTACACCCACATTTGAACAGCAGTTCTGTCTGTCCAGAACAGTAGGCAAATAAGCTCCCAACAAGGCGAATGTTTGTATAAAGACAAGACTCTTTTCACACAAAGGCTTTTCCCTACAAGTCTTGACAGATCGAGTTTAGAAAAGAAACACTTAAGTTGAGAGACTCACAGAGGCATGACAATATCTCAACACTTTCTTTCCCTCACTCTTTAATTTGTATGAATGTAGTCCTACAAGCAAAATGCAACACATGTCAGGACTTTTAGCTGTAAATCAGAATGTTTCAGATGTTAAACGGTGTGTAAATGTGCTTAAATGATTACAGAACCGCCCCATTCATTACAAGAAGTGCAGCTTTGTTTGAGCCACGCAAACATGCTAAAGAGGCTTTCGGGGACGGATGAATATGACAAGCCACCGGTGGGGTCTCTCTCTGCAGGGGGGCGGCTTCAAGATTAGACGCTCTTTAAGGGGCATCAGCAGGTGTCAACTCCGACTCCTCCGGCTATACCCAGCCGCTTACTCACCACCCTCCGTCAAGACTCAGCCCAGCTGCTCGGGACGCACCCTCCCCTGCAGTAAACTGCCTCCCCTCCCTTCACACTTCTGACACAGACACCCATCCACCTCTGACATATGGCCGCCCTCTCCGGTTCACTGTTCCCTCGGGCACAGTTGTACACATTCGAGTTTCCTGCTCTTAAAACTACTTGGAGTTTGGACTGACGGTGACCCCATCCAAACGCAGACAAAGAGGTTGTTCCACACTGTTAGGAATATGGCTGCAACTAATGATCACCTTCTTTCATCCATCTGCCAATTATCTTCTCAATTAGTTGCTGACACTGCGAAATGTCAACAAAACATGAAAAACTGCCTTTACATGTTCTCAGATCACAATATAATGTCAGGAATAGGGCTGCAACCAATGATTAATCTGCCAATTGTGTTCTCGATTACTCTCTTAGTTATTAGGTCTACAAAATGGCATAAACTAATGAAAAACGATTTCTTGTTTTATTCACAATCCAAAGAAATTCCATTTACTGTTACAGAGAAGTAAAGAAACCAGAAAATGTCCAAGTGCCAGTAGAGGATTTAGATATTTTTGATGCAAGAATTTTGAAAACAGTTGGCTATTAGTTTAATATTGACAGCTAATCAATTATTGCAGCTCTAGTCTTGAAATGTGTTGTTTTGTTCATCAAACAGTCCCAAATTCAAACTTATTCCATATTTCCATGATAAAAACAAACTGCACATCTTCCCGTTTGATGAGTTGTGAATATTGTGCAATTTTACTAATAATATGAAACAATTCATCAGTTATCAGAAAAGCTGCTAATTCACTTTGTGTGTTTTTTTTTTTACTAATTGAGAAACCATTTCAACTAAAAAGAAGAAAGAAGCTTACATCTTGAACTGCCGCAGAAATATTCCAATGTTCATGCTGCGTTTGGAGTCCAATAGGGAGATCTGTAAAAGAGAGACAGAACGCATATAAGGACAAGAACAGAGGAAGAAAAATGACTTTATCCTGATGATATATGGACATTCTGACGATCTGACCTCTTCTGAGCTGTCCTGTGGGGATTTGCAGCGCAGGAGCGCAGACCGCCGCCTCAGTGTGCTGGTTCTGTCCCGAGGCTTACTGTCCTTCTGACCAAACAGCTCATCCAGAGAGTGGAGGTCTATTGGGAACTCGTCCTCACCTGGGGCCGCCCCGCTCCACACGCTCTTCCTCCCTTCCACTTTCTCCTTGGGGATACGCTCCCAGTTCAGCTTCCTCAGCCGGCTCCGACGGGCGCTATCTGCCCGGCTAAAA